TGTTATCTGACTGAATAAATCTCACCATGTATAGTGTTGTCTGATCAAATAAGTCACACCAACATGTAGAATATTAGTGTTATCTGACTGAATAAATCTCACCATGTATAGTGTTGTCTGATCAAATAAGTCACACCAACATGTAGAATATTAGTGTTATCTGACTGAATAAATCTCACCATGTATAGTGTTGTCTGATCAAATAAGTCACACCAACATGTGGAATATTAGTGTTATCTGACTGAATAAATCTCACCATGTATAGTGTTGTCTGATCAAATAAGTCACACCAACATGTACAGATAACACTAATATTCACTGAATAAATCTCACCATGTATAGTGTTGTCTGATCAAATAAGTCACACCAACATGTAGAATATTAGTGTTATCTGACTGAACAAATTTCACCATGTATAGTGTTCATGTTGTCTGATCTGGGCGGTGATAACTAGCTGCCTTCCCTCTAGTCTTTCACTGCTAAATTAAGGATAGTGCAAATTGGTCTCATGTAGTTGCAAAATTCAAACCAAACTCCCTAGTGTTATCATGTTAGGATTAATGTAAAGTAGCATATGTTTCTATGTTATATTTAAACAACATGTATAGTCTAAATGAAACTATAAGGAATATTTTAAATCTTGTCACCGTATTCTAAAACAATCTGAAAAAAAATTGATTTTTTTCCTCTCTCTCTCGAAAGTAGTAGCAAAACTGGATCTATATTTCTTCAGCTTGTGGCCATTCTATTACAAAATCATTTTTATTCAGGTAAGAATAACACCAGACTTCAAATAAGAGCTGATTGATTTATTCTACATCAATTAGTGTCAGAATAAATTAATAGACTATTGCTGTTTTCAATTGTTCCAAAAATTGATTAATTGAAATTCCCATTGTATCAACTGTCACAAAAATAACATTTCTAATTATTACTGTTTTAGGTTGTCCAAGCCACTGTCTCTAATTTTGTGCTGCTGATTAGAGGAAAGGCAGATTTTTTTTTACTTGTACATACTATGGTTTGAGAAACATTGTATTAATAAAATGTAATCGATTGACGAGGTCATCAGTTAAATACCATTAATCACCAAGCTCTTCTTCATTTTATACACGTTATCTCTTGTATTTTGAAGATCTAGATGAACAGTTACGAGAAGGAGATCCTTGTAGCCACAAATCAAGTTGCTAGGTTACAGTGTGGCTTGATATTAGCTGCCACAGGATAGTAAAGATTTGTTGGATTTTTTTTTTCCTAATCAGTATTGTTAGAGATCCATTTTGATTCTGTTATAAAGCTTTTACTTTATATTATGGTGTTTAATACCTAGTATGGTAAAGGCCGAGTTTTTTACAATTATCTCTCACATTGGAGTAATATTAAACTTTGTTACTCTTCTATGTATGGTCAGATATCTGTTTAAAAAGTACTTAAGTCTAAAATCTATAAAATTTGGTTTAGGGTAATAGTTTATATCAGTGTTTCCCAAAGTGGGAGCCACAGCCCCCCCTGGAGACTGTGAAGCTTTTTCTAGGGGGCTGCCAAAAAATGGGCCAAAAACAAAGATACTGAATTAATTTTAATTCTAAATAAACAAGAAGTCGATAAAAATTATGTTGAATTAATTAAATGATACAGTATGTCAAAAGGAGATGTTATTGTTTTTACTACTGCACTGTTTTTCAATCACCATGTGAAAGTTATAGGTTGGGGGGCCTCAAACCTTTTTATTCACATCAAGGGAGCCTCAGACTAAACGGAGTTTGGGAAACATTGGTCAAACTTGCTGATATTGAGTTACCACAGGTCAATGAGTTTTATATTGAACTGTGTCTGACGAATACATCTTAGCCCTGATGCCACAACATCCAGGATGCTCCAAAAGTGACTCGTTTTAACCTTACTTTAACACATTTTAATTGTATCTTCCTTATGATACAAAACTGGCTTCATTTAGCTCTTGGGTTTTTCCTTCCCTTATTGTAGTATCCTTGTAATGTGGAATGTATTTATTCAAGAATATATTTCACACCTAACTGGGGAAGAACAGCATTGTAACCAAAACATGGGAAGTACTTCATATTTATATTTTATCTTTAAGTTGGAAGTAAGCACTCAAGTTTCACTGTGGTATAGATTTGAATATGAAACACACTTGTTCATAATGTTAACAGATCCCTTACTGTATTCAGGAGAGTTCTTTATGTGTGGAATACGAAACACACTAGCTCATAATGTTAATATATCCCTGTCATATTCAGGAGAGATCTTTATGTGTGGAATATGAAACAAACTAGCTCATAATGTTAATATATCCCTTACTGTATTCAGGAGAGATTTTTATGTGTGGAATACGAAACACTTGCTGATGCTGTTAATATATCCCTATCATATTCAGGAGAGTTCTTTATGTGTGGAATATGAAACACTTGTTCATAATGTTAACAGATCCCTTACTGTATTCAGGAGAGATCTTTGTGTGTGGAATATGAAACACTTCCTGATACTGTTAATATATCCCCATCTTATTCAGGAGAGTTCTTTATGTTAATTTTCTTTGAATGCATGCCTCTATAACCTCATGAAGTAAAAGTGTGTATGACTGGCTAGTTTACCTCATCCAATAGCAATGTGTGTAAGATGGAACACTAAATATAATGTAGCTTGAAACCGATGGTCAGTGTGAGATTTGTTGACCAAAAGTAGTTCCATGTTACACCAAATATATGTAATCCAGATTACTTACAACTTTTTGTTAATAGCACTAGAAGGATAGTTACTCCATTTATAACTTTATTGGAACATAGAATACAGAATGTGATAAGAAATATTGACTATTTTACATATTTTCCATGAACTAATTCTATATGTCTTTTCAGATAATCTTTTCTGCAATAAGTACTATTACAGAGATGACACAGATACCTCTCCCTGTCCACTAGGTGGCGCTGCATGTGTCTTAACAGTGTGGGTCTGTTGTAAAATGTATGATGACAATACGTACATCTTGATTGATTAGCTGCTCGTTCAGCATTACTTTTCCGACCAAGCCATCGGTTAGGTAAATCCGTTATAAAACGATCTTGTACTGTGGGAAAAAATTGTAAAATTTATTTCATTGAAATTCACAGAACTTGTTACTTTATTAAAAGAAATGAGGTTTTAGAATACATATATTTAGTTATTGGCAAACGTGGCTGGATAATTATTTTTTATGTAAATAATAATTTACTTTCCACATGTTTCAACTTCCTGTTTCACTGTCAGTATCAATGAATGTAAAAATAGGAATTTTTCCCTGGTATACATCTGTGTATGAATATACCGAAAGTAATACATAGAAAACAATGATCGACATACCTGTCAAATAAAGAGAAGTATTTAATGTCAATCATATAAACAGGAGTCACAGAAAAAACTAGTTTTAAATTAAGAACATTATGTTCGGACTATACACTAGAAAAAAAATGTGATTAGAAAATTTTATGATTGCTGACATGTCTGAAGCTGTGTGTAAATAAAAATACAGTGAATAAAAACTGTTAAAACATTCAAGGTGATTCGTTTATTTTGTTAGAGGTTGTTATCAATGTTGTTCTGTAAAATATTTCTAAATTATCTGCAGGAATACACCTATCAGTAAAAACTTCTACAATTAAACATGAACAACCAATAACAATGGTGTACATCATCATCTTGTTTTGTAGACACACACAAGACACTTCTTGTGGTTGCTTACAGTCACTTTAAACATGAACAACCAATAACAATGGTGTACATCATCTTGTTTTGTAGACACACACGAGACGTTTCAGTGACTGTAAGCAACCACAATTAAACATGAACAACCAATAACAATGGTGTACATCATCTTGCTTGGTAGACACACACGAGACATTTCAGTGACTGTAAGCAACCACAATTAAACATGAACAACCAATAACAATGGTGTACATCATC